CAACCTCCGCCGCTGCCCCCCGGCCCGCTGGGTGGCCAGCGAGTGGGGCGAGGTAGGTGGGCGTCCCCCCACACACACACCCAGGGAGGTGGAAGGGGGGAGTCCCGGGCTGGGGCGAGCTCAGGGACTCCTCTCCACAGTGCTCCGCGCAGTGCGGCCTGGGCCAGCAGCAGCGCGCCGTGCGCTGCACCGGCCACACCGGCCAGCCGTCCCGGGACTGCGCCGAGGCCCTGCGGCCGCCCACCACCCAGCAGTGCGAGGCCAAGTGCGACCCTGCGCCCCCCGGGGATGGCCCCGAAGGTATGTGGGTCACAAGCACCCCACGGAGTGGGGGGGGAGGGGAAACACCAGGAGGGCTCCAGGTGGAGAGGACTTCTGGAAACATCTGGAAACACAAGCCAGGTCTCCCAGGTTGCCTGTCACTGTCCAAGGCGAGCGCTCTACCGCTTGAGCCACAGCGCCACTTCCGGTTTTCTGGTGGTTTATTGGAGATAAGAGTCTCACGGCCTTTCCTGCCTGGGCTGGCTCTGAACCGAGATCCTCAGATCTCAGCCTCCTCAGTAGCTAGAATGACAGGCTTGAGCCACCGGCGCCCAGCTTATCCTTGAGCTGTTTGTTTTTGTCTATTTTTTAACAATCAAAAAAACTTGTTTTATTTTAGCACACAACCAATCTTTTTTTCTTTCAAACAAAACTTTCCCCAGATTTATTACTGAATCAACCTTCTAAAGCATGCACAGAAACAGAAAAATCATATTCCCAACAAAACACGTTTAACTATCAAGACAGTGATGACATTTTTCTCTTGATATGGCAAGATGATATGTGTGCCATCTCTCCTGCAATTCCTTACAGACCAATTAACTGGATATAAGAGTCTCATGGATTTCCCTGACCTCCACAGGCTTCAAATGGTGATCCTCAAATCTCAGCCTAAATAGAGTTACAGGCATTAGCCACCAGCACCTGGCACTTTGTACTTTAAAACAGTTTATCAGCCTCAAGCACTCTTGAGGTTATGTTCCATAAGATTCTGTCCTGTACAGAATCAGTGCCAATGGCAACTTTAACCCAGTTAAGACTAAAAATGCCTGCAGATGTCACCCCATGCTCCATGGCTCCTTGAGAACCACTACCCATTTTTTTTTCTTTTTTTAAATTGATCTTGTTATGATGGCCAGGCTGGACCCAGACTTCTAGGCTCAAGCAATCATCCTGCTCAGACTCCCAAGTGCTGAGATTACAGGTGTATGCCATTATGCCCAGCTATAAATTTGTTTTTTCATAAAGAGCAATGGATGATGTGTTAGGGACTACCTTTCACTCTTGTGCCTCAGTTTCCTCATCTTGTCAAGGGGGGTAAGTAATAGACTCACTCAGAATGAGGTACCACTTTAGGGGTAGAATAAAAATGATCCACTGGATGACCAAGTGCTAGTGGCTCACGCCTGTAATTCTAGCTACTCAGGAGGCTGGATCTGAGAATCACAGTTCCAAGCCAGCCTGTGCAAAAAACTCTGCAAGACTTATCTCCAATTAATCACCAAAAAGCTACAAAGTGGAGCTGTGGCTCAAGTGGTAGAGTACTAGCCTTCAACAACAACAACAACAACAAAAAGCTTAGGGACAGTGCCCAGGCTCTGAATTCAAACCCTAGGATAGGCACATGCACGTGTGCACACACACACACACACACACACACACACACAAGATCTTTTGGAAACCACAGACATCACAAGCTGGTAAGCACTCTTTATTGTCATCATGAACATACACTGTTGAATATGTGAATACAAAATACACAGATTCTTCCAACCAGGGATCAAGATGTCCGTTATGACATGGGTGTAGTGGCTCACACTTGCGGTCCTAGCTATTCAGGAGGCTGAGTTCCAGAGGGTCAAAGTTCAAAGACACCCTGGGTAGAAAAGTCTTCAAGACTCCCATCTCTAAAATAACCAGCAAAAAGCTGGGCTGGAGGTGTGGCTCAAGTAATAGACCATCAGTGAAGCAAGCAAGCTCAGCAAATGTGTGAAGCCCTGAGTTTAACATGTTTTTTAAAAAGACAAGGCTATGATTCATACCTGTCATTCTAGCTACCCAGGAGACCCAGCAATGAAGGATTATGATTGGAGGCCAGCCCCATTTCAACTGATTGAATAGGAAAGATTTTTTTTTCATGGATAATCCTGAGCTCTCTCCATCCTGAAAATAGCCTAATGACAGGAGTTATAAGCCTCCCTTGACAGTTGAGGAAACCCAGCACAGAAAAGCAAAGTCATAGAACATGGCTGGGTGAGGCACTGAAAACTGATGGCTCCTTCTCTCCTGCAGAGTGCAAGGATGTGAACAAGGTTGCATACTGCCCCCTGGTGCTCAAATTCCAGTTCTGCAGCCGAGCCTACTTCCGCCAGATGTGTTGCAAAACCTGCCAGGGCCGCTAGTGGGGGTGCGCGGTACCTGGAGCTGTCGTGGAGCCGCGGCTGAGGGGGAACCCCAACCAGAGAGGGTCCCAGAGGGCGGGAGCTGGGAGTGAAGGGTGACATGGAGCTGGAACTTATTTATTGGGAACCCCTACAGGGCCTCTGGTTAGGGGATGAAGAGGAGCTGGCTACCCCCTCCCCAGTCCCTCTAAAGTCCCTTGTCCAGTTCATAACCAGACCCCCCCCTCTTCAGGGATGGATTTAAGGAAGGGGGTACCTATTTGTCCCAGCACCATTTGCACCCACCCTTAAGGAGTCCCCTCCCCTACCCTCTGATCGAAATATGTACTGTGAAGAGTGGGAGTGGGAGAGGGGGCTACCAGCACCCTCCCCCCAGCACTGTCTAACTCCCTCCCACTCTGAGCTGGTGGGGATCCAGGCTTGCTAAGGGGGACAGGACCTAGCACCACCTCCGTGACACCCTCTCCCAAAACCGACCAGGGGGAAGATTCACCCCAACCTCTGCTCTCACTGATCCATGGGGGGACCCCAACATCCAAGCCACCCCCATCATGCCGGTTACAAGGCCTCACCCTGGGGGCCACGCTCCTCGCAGGAAACCCTACATCAATAAAGTTCTGTCTTAAATAGATTTCTGTGAGTGTGAGTGTGTGTGTGTGTGTGTGTGTGTGTGGCTGAGTCCCTTCCAGCACCTGCCCTGGGGCCAGAAAAGACCACAGCTCCTCAAGGCATTAGTGGCTCACACCTGTAATCCCAGCTATTCAGGTGGCTGAGACCTGAAGGTCACGGTTCAAAGCCAGCTCAGACAGACAAATTCCAGAGACTCATTTCCAACCAGCCAGCAGAAGGATAGAAGTGGAACTATGGCCCACAGAGAGTGCCAGCCTTGAGTGAAGAAGCTAAGGTCAAATGCAAGGAACCTGAGTTTAAGTCCCAGGACTAACATCAAAAAACAAACAAAAAAGTTATCCTAGCTGCCAGAGAGGACTTGAGCCAACAGAGACAAGAACATGGCCATGGGCTGGGAAGGTGGCTCAGTGGTAGAGTGCTTGCCTTGCATGCATGAGGCCCTGGGTTCAATTCCTCAGCACCACATAAGCAGAAAAAAGCTGGAAGTGGCACTGTGGCTCAAATGGTTGAGTGCTAGCCTTGAGCTGAACAGCTGAGGGACAGCACGCAGGCCCAGAGTTCAGGCCCCATGACCAGACCAAAAAAAAAAAAATTAACACGGCCATTTTAAGACAAAAGTACAGCTTCTTGTGGAAGGCAAAGCCAGCAAAGTGGGGTCCTGCCTGTAGTTTGATGTCCCTACAGCAAACCTGCTCTGGATCCACAAGGAGACACAGGCTCCACCCTCACATGGCCACCAGGGGGCGCCCACTGCAGCACCTGTTAGGATGTGCATAGGTCCAGCCCAAGATAACAAGAACATCTGGCCGAGTGGCTTGGGAAGGTGATAGCCTCTTGGCACTGCCATTTCCTCAAATGCCAATGGAAAAATCCTGTGTGGTCTGGTGTGATCTTAAGTCAGGCAGGGTGCTGCTGGGAGTCGCTGTTTTACACTGAGGAGATGTCAGGTGATGAAATCTAGGCGTGGCACAGAAAGTTTTGAGAACTTCTAGGTGCAGTTGGCTTCTGGCCCCACCCCACCCCCACCCCTGTCTGATCCCTTACCTTTCCCAGACACAAGAGGGTGTTCATCCCAAGGTTGCCTTGAGCCGCTCAAAACAGCTCCCAGCAAAAGACTACAGCTGGTTCTGCAGCTGGCTGACCTAAGTGCACACATGCATGCCCCATTACTGTAGCCTGTAGCCCTGAGGAGATGGAGAATGGGGCTCTCGGGCTCTGGCTGTGTCTGGCAACCATCTTTGACCTCTCCTGTGGCTCACAGCACAGTCTTCCATCACTCCACTCCACCCCCAAAAAACAGCCAGCTTCCCCTAGCCCAGCCTGGGACTACTGAGTTTTCTCCCCGCCCTCGGGGCTCAGCTTCCCTCCCCAGTGGCCATGGCCCCTCCCGTCAAAGGAAGTGAGAGAGCCGAGGTGGCTGTAAGAGGAACTCAGGCCAGAGCAGGAGAAGGACCATGTCCCTAAGAGCCCCCTAGGTGAGCCTGGACCCCTGCCACAACCCAGCCAGGTGCCCCCAGGAGCTGGGGCACCAGCTGCCACCATGGTAAGTCCTCAGGGGTACGGTGGGGGGAGGGGGTAAGGGAGGGAGATCTCAGGTAGATAGTGGTACCCTAAGACCACCACCAGAAAGTGGGGAGGAGTGATCCTTTATGGGGGGTCCCTCAAGGCAACTCAGGTACCCCACTTTGTGTCCCTTTCCTAGGACCAGGCTCTCACATGAGAGTTGTAGATTGGCTATGGGACCGACAATGAAGCAGTAACTGGCAGATGGGGGGGAAGGAGGGGAATCCCTGAGGGGGTTCACACAGCCCCTTCCCTGAGCCTTAAGAAACCCAGTGCCAAAGCTGGGGACTCCTCTTTTCCCCTGTGGCCTTGAGCCAAGTCACTCCCCTTCTTGGGGCCTCTGACCACACTTAGAAGTCAGAAGCTGTGGCTCCCAGACAGTAGGGTGAAGTGACAGTGTGGGTCTGCGGGTGACAGAGGCCGGGGGTACAGAGCTGGGGGTACAGCGGAGTGGTAGTGTGCTTGCTTAGCTGCTGAAGGCCAGGCTTCTTAATCCAGGTAGGCAAAAGACAAAAGGGAAAGGGGAAGAGGACTTGGTTCATGCCACCACCCAAACATGGTGATGGAGACACATAAAACAGCAATGGCACTTGCTGTAATACGGAGGCTAGGGGTCCACTGGCAATGGAGACAAGATGGAGGGACTGACACAGGATGTCCCAACGACATCCTGAGACAACACAGTCATCCCACAGTGCTGAGAGTCCTCAGACCACTTCAGCTTTCATTCTTTGTCACCCAAGGATGAGGGTGTGTTCCTAGGACAGCAACAGAGGCAGGGAGATGGCACAGGAAGCAGATGCTGCAAAGATTGTGCAGAAAGCCAGCGAGGAATCGGGTGGCCCTGGCTAAAGATGCTCTGGGTGATGCGCACCCTACATGTGAACTTGCAGTGGTAATCACTAAGAGGCATCTAAGCCAAGAGACCAGATGACAGAGATCAGATGGACAGAATGAGACAAACGCACGGGACAAATTTGCTACCTGAAAGGAAACGAACCCCGCCCACTGAAACCCGGAAAAACCCTTAGTCAACAAGACGACTCAGCAGATGGGTGTCTGAGAGGGAAGAAAATGCATCAGACAGTGTATAGGCAGTCGTGGTAGAGCAAGCCTGTAATCCCAGCACTGGGGAGGCTGAGGCAAGAAGATCATGCATTCCAGGCTGGTCTGGGTTACCTAGCAAGACCCAAAATCAAATTCCTCTCCCTCAGAATCAAAGCGGATGACGGAACAGAAATGAAGACACTGCAATTCATGCCTGTGATCCCAGCCATTCAGGAAGCAAAAGTTAGGAGGATCTCAGGCCAGACCAAGCAAAAAATTGTAGATTCCCTTATCAGTCTATAAACCAGGCATGATAGCACTTGTCTGTGACCCTAGTTACACAGGAAGCTCTAGACAGAAGGGTCATTGCCTGAGGCCTGCCTGGGGGCAAACACACACACACACACACACACACACACACACACACACACACACACACAATCTATAGCCGGGCATTGGTGGCTGGCATCTATAATCTTAGCTACTCAAGAAACTGAGATCTGAAAATCAAGGTTCAAAGCCAGCTCAAGCAGGAAAGTCCATAAGACTCTTATCTATAGCCACCAAAAGGCCAGACATAGAGCTGTGGCTCAAGTGGTAGAGTGCCACTTTGAGAGGCACTTTTTCACATTGAATGAAAAAACGCAGGGACAGCACCCAGGCCCAGAACAGACCCAGGACAGAGCAAAAAAAAAAAAAAAAGGGGGGGGGGGGGCTGGGGTGGCTCCGTGGTACAGTGCTTGCCTTGCATGTATAAGGCCCTGGGTTCGATTCTTCAGCACCATATAAGCAGAAAAAGTCAGAAATGGCACTGTGACTCAAGTGGTAGAGTGCTAGTCTACAGCTGAATAGCTGAGAGACAGCACCCAGGCCCAGAGTTCAGACCCCACGACAGACCAAAAAAAAAAAGAAAAAGAAAGGAAGAAAGAAAGAAAAAGAAACCTATCTGAAAAAAATAAAGTAAAAATGGATGGGGATGTGGCTCAAAAGGTAGAATGCCTGCCTAGCATGCAGAGGCCCAAATTAAGAAAAAGAAAAAATTCCTTTCAAACAGTGATCTTAAATGTCCTTTAGGGAAGCAAGGATGTGAGGTCAGTACCCATAGCTGACCTGGCTTGGGCTTTAAGATGGGCTGGGTGCTTGTTCTTGGTGAATGAATTGTTTCAGGTGCTTGCTGCTAGGTTGTTGTTGGGTTGTTGTTGGCTGTGGTGTTGTTGCTGCTGTTTGTTTCAGGTTGCTGTTAACAGCAATTCTTGTGTGTAGTGATTGTGGGTATCTTTGATGAGCGCTGGTCTGGAAAGTTGGTCGTTGATGGCAGGTTGGTTTGGGTAGGAAATCTTTGGGATTAGATAAGAGCGGTGGATAGGTGGTTGTGTTCACTTTTGATTGGTTGTTCATCGCTGGCTGACAATTCATTGTTGGCTTTTGAATGGGACACAGGGTGTTGCTCATGATAGTCATGTATGGGTAGTCTTTGGATGGACTGGTGGTATTGCCCATGCTTGTTGTCAATGGTGGAGTTTTTCCTTTTTTTTGGAGTGGGGGATCCAGTCATGGGGCCTGAACTCTGGGTCTGGGCACTGTCCCTCAGCTCTTCAGCTCAAGGCTAGCGCTCTACCACTTGAGCCACAGCACCACTTCCGGCTTTTTTCTTTTTGCTTATGTGGTGCTGAGGAATTGAACCCAGGTCCTCATGCATGCAAGGCAAGCACTCTACCACAAAGCCACCTTCCCAGCTCCAATGGTGGAGGTTTTCTTGTGGGCTTGCTTTGTTTGTTTTTGTTTTTGTTAGTCATGGGGCCTGAACTCTGGGTCTGGGCTCTGTCCCTGAGCTCTTCAACTCAAGGCTAGCACTCTACCACTTGAGTCAAGCCCCACTTCCAGCTTTTTCTGCTTATGTGGTGCTGAGGAATCGAACCCAGGGCCTCATGCATACAAGGCAAGCACTCTACCACGGAGCCACCTTTCCAGCACCTGGCTTTTTTTTTTGAGAAAGAGTCTCACTGTGTCACCCACTGTGTAGCTGGCCTCCAACTCTCCATCCTCCTCCTTCAGCCTTGTAAATGCTGGGATGATAGCCCGACTGGTTGTCCTTGTTGATGGTAGATAGCGATTTATGACTGGTTGATGACCACAGATGGTGATGGGTGTTTGTAGGCAAGGTTGATGATCTTGGTTTTTTCTTTTGATTTTCTGGAGGTGGAAAGGGGGCAGTCAACCAGTTGACAAGAATGGTTGTTTTTAATGTTCAGACACAAAGCAAGGGAGATCAGTGATATGGCTGCTTGGTCCAAGGCCCAGTGTCCAAGAAAGTGGACAGAAAAGGAAGGATTTCTGAGGGAGAGTCATTAAGACCAGCAACTGATTGGACAAGAAAGAGGAGGACAGCTAGCCTTGAGCTAGCTTGG